CATTTTTATAAAAGTATAAAAAAAAGCCTGCTTTTAGTAACCTATTGGATGCAAATCTCATCCAAATCACTTAATAGCAAATCAAAATATAAAATATTTTTAATAATTCTAAGATTTTATGTGTAACCAAAAAAATGACTACCTTTATATTGTGCTGATTACATTAGCCACACAGGAAGATAATTTATTTAATACAGTTATTTGAAGAGATAAGAAAAAAGATGAGCAGAAATAAGGAAGGAAGGGAGGAAAGGAGGAAAAAAAAAAAGAGGAAGGAGGGTAAGGAAGAAGGGAGAAATTTATATTTGCATTTAGTATTTTTCTAAACAATTTTGTATAAGGTTGGGGCAACCAATGATTTTCATGATTTAAATAATCTCTACACTTTATTTTAATTTTCAGAACCATAAGAATAATTATCAATTTTCTTACATATGTATGCTTTCTAAAAGTATATAGAGGTACACAATGATTCCCCCAAAATAACAAAATAAACTATTTTTCTTTTTAGCATGTATCCAAAAGATTCTATATTTCCATGAAGTCGCTTACTTTAGTTAGGCAAATGCATGTTCTTGAAATATGTCAGAATGTATAAAGTGAATCTGTTACATAAAACCAAAAGAAGTACTGTATTATTTTAGGAAACAAACATTTTGCACAAGGATATTTCTCGGAAGTAGCTGAATGTCATAAGATAAGTCATTTATATTTTAAAGAAATAAACTCTTCCTTGAATTAAATAGAATGGTGAGATGGCATAAAAGCAAAATGTTTATGTCAAATAGAAAATGAGATATAGCTCAAATTACACACATTTAAAATACAAAATTAAATAGTTAAAAGTCATATTTAGCTTATATTCTGAATAGCTGCATACCAGTTAAAAACAAATGCCTAGAATAGTTTGATTGTAGAATTTTATGAAATCACATTGCTATGGTTCAAGTTCGTTCCCACCAAAACTCATGTTGAAATTTAATCCCCAGAGTGGATATCCCTTGGGTTTTGCCTCTTTGCACGTGTCCACTTCCCCTATGACCTTCTCCAACACGCTATGACACAGCACAAATGTCCTGACCAGAAGTCAAGCAGATGCAAGTGCCATGCTTCTTGTACTTCCTAACCTGCACTACTGTGAGCAAAACAATGCCCTTTTACTTATAAATTACCCAGTCTCAGGTATTCTATTATAGCAACACAAAACAGATTAAGACATTCTGTTGTCAACATTTAGGTTTGTCAATCAGTGCTAAGAGTGAACCATATCAAACTACTCAGTGTATATCTCCCTTATGCCATGGAATTACCAGTGCTTTTGAATATCATGTTCAGAAAAGATGACTTAGTAGCTGCAAAGAAAAAGGCACTTTCTGGAATATCTCACTTACTCCTCAGCGTGATTTATCACTTGGTAATCCTGTATTTACCATGTCCTTAAAAAAAGACTTTTTCTTAGAGTTTGGTAAAGAAAGACTTCATTTTTCCTTTGGATATACTATGTTTGTTCCTCTTGAGTAACGAGAATACATCCGTGAGTCTTCCTCTTCATCTTGGACACTCACAAAGTGAAATTCCTAAATCACTTCCCTACCATTGCAGTAATGGTTCCCCTTTATTTTGCTGGTATATAAACTCTTCTAATTTTAGATCATTTCCCCTTATTTTTATTTTGAGAATAAGACCTTTACTGTGTTTGACTTTCAGTAAGGTACCTGACTTCAATCCCTTCTGACAGGAGGTCGTGTGCAAATGAATGAAACCTCACTGACAGACTATTAATAGAACCAATAGGTCTGGCAGTAGGTGGAACTCAGTGGCCCTAATCCCTTTCCAGAAAGTCAGTCACTACTTCATTTTATCTGTATAAATTTTGGTGTAAAGAAGTTATGTTTTCTAATTGTTAGTGAAGGAAACCAAAATATTCCTCTTTAAAATACTGGAGATTGTTGAGCTGAAGACGGTTGAAATGCAGGGGCACACCCTGCCCCTCCTCCCTGCCTTTGCCACCTAAAAATAGGCCCCTTTACAACACTTGCTTATTAGCTCAGAGACAGAGCTTAGAGACAGTGGTGCCAGAGGGTCTAGGAGAGACTCTACTCCTCCCATAAATTGACCTTCTCACATTTTCATGCCTTTTGGAAGCCTAAAGATACTCTCTTCTTGTCTTGTCACTATATAGGATTTATGACTCTTTGTTAAAATACTATTTGAGCAAGGCTCTTAAGCCACTGTCTTGAGAGAGAAACACTTTGAACTGAGGCCTCTCCTATGTGATGGGTACAGCATGCATTAATAAGCTTCTGCTGGGTTTTCTCTTGTTAACGTGGCTTTTATTTTCAGGGGATTGCCTCAACTAACAACCTATATAATTCTTGAGGGAAAGAAAAGAAACTATATTTTCTCCCCAACTTTACACAGTAGGTTAAACACGTAAGTAAGAACTTTCCCTTTTCACCTTCTATAGTGTAAGACATCTTGGTATTTTCCCAATTCGGACATTTTTATTTAAGAGCTAAAAAATATTCTGAAATCAGATAAATATTTGTTTTCTTCCTTTGTATATCATGTTTTCTGACTAATGTTCTTAAATCTGAAGCCCTTATTCAATCGTAAGATGGACAAAGAACATTAACATACACATTTTGTTTATTTAGGCCTTTAGCCAAAAATTAAACCAAAAAGCTATAGATATAAAACATAATATAATGAATCATAGTGCTTAAATTTGGGGAAATATGACAGTATAATGGTGGTTACACTAAATGTTTTTAGAAAAGCATTTCTCTTAGGAATGTCCTTAGACAATAGTATGATTTACTTTTTTATATTTTTTAAACACTCATTTTTTTCCTATCTATAAGTATAGCACAAAGATATAATAAATATGTGTGTATGTATGTGTATATATGTGTGCTACATATGTAACACATGTATACTGTGCTGTACATATAACATGTATGTCCCATGATACAGACTAAATTATGTCCCCCACCAAATTCACAGGTTGAAGCCTAACCCCCAATGTGACTGTATTGGAGATAGGGCCTTTAGGGAGGTGATTAAGGTTAAATGAGGTCATACAACAGCCTGTGAGTGATGTGCTTTGAACTAGAGTAGGAACACATTGCTAAAGGAACATATAACATAGTAGAAATAATATCTTAACCACCTTTTCATTTCCAGTACCTAGAAAAAGTTCTTCACTAAAAGACAGATAAAGACATGATAGGTGCAGCTCAGGGATTTCATCAGCCCTCTCGACAGAAGCCAGGAATAGAGATGGGATTACACTAGCTAAGAGTTTGAACTCTATGGGGCAGAGCAAGCGGAACAGAATGAAGGCAGGCCGTGAGACTTCTTGGATTCCACATGGCTGGACCACTGTTCTTCAAGGAAAGGGAAGAATGACCTCAAAGGGGATTCACAGATCATTAGGGTTGCCCCTCCTACTACAGGCCAGGGGGCAAGCCTGTTTCCTTCTACATTCCAAAGGGTAGGGCTGCCTCCCTCTCCTGTTTCAGGGGGACAGGATGATCCTGCCCAGTGACTCAGGGCCAGGACCTACCTTTGCAGAGAGCCATGTGGACAGCGCCTTTGCAGAAAGACTCTGTCTCACTCACAGAGCCATTGGGTGACCCTGCCACACCAGAGGGACCAGAGGGCAGAATATTGAACCAAACAGGATTACTTTTGAGTCTTAATATCTAATGGAATTTGACTTGCTAGGTTTTGGACTTGCTTGGGACCCATCATCCACCCATTCCTTTCTTCCAATTTTTCCCTTTTGGAATAGAAATGTCTATCCTATGCCTGTCCTACCTTATATTTTTGGAAGCACAAGACTTGTTTGGTTTCATAGGTTCATAGCTGGAGAGGAAGTTTGCCTCAGGATGAATCATTCCTCGAGTTTCACCCATATATGATTTAGATGATATTTATTTTTTTTTGTCTACAGCTTTATTAAAGTATAATTGACAAATAAAAATTGCAGATATTTACATACAACATGATGTTTTGAAATATGTATACATTGTGAAATAATTACCACTATCATGCTAATTAATATATCTGTAACATTTAACATAGTTATTTATATGTTGTGGTAAGAACAGTTAAGATTTAGGCTCTTAGCAATTTTCAAGTACATAATACATTATTATTAACTATAATCACCGTGCTGTACAAGATCTCTAGAACTATTCATCCCATCTAGCTGAAACTTTGTACCCTTTGACCAGCATCTCCTCATTTTCCATCCCTCCCTCCCCACTGCTTTGCCCCCCATCCCTGGCAACCACCATCTACTCTTTACTTCTAGGAGTTTGACTTTTTTAGATTTCACATATAAATGAGATCATGCAGTACTTGTCTTTCTGCATCTAATAATTCATTTAGGATAATGTCTTCCAGGCTTATCCATGTTGTCATAAATAATAGGATTTCCTTCTTTTTTAATGCTGAATAGTATTCCATTGTGTGTGTGTGTGTGTATGTGTCTGTGTATACCACATTTTTTCCTTGTGTGTGTATATATATGTATATCACATACATTTCTACCTATTTATCTATCTATATACACACACACAGAGATTGAGAGAAAGCAAGCAAGCACTGATCTCCATGCCTGAGAGTCAGCTTAACTCCATTCTGTGACCTTATATTCAATCCCTGATCCTAGTCAAATGCCAAAACCAAAGATCCATGCCATTGACCATAGAGCAGTTAAGTCATAAAACACAAAAACACAATACTAAAAAAAATAACTAAAAACAAATCTGTTATTAAGTTAGCAGTACCAGCTTATATAAGACAGCTATGAATAACTTTGTAACCAAGGGCCTTAATTGAAATAAGAATATTTATACTTGTTATAACTAATATATATTTTTAGCTTTTTAAAAGGAATACCGTTTTTTAATGTTCTGTTAACTCACCTTATCACAGATCCATTTCCTAGGATTTTCAGCTCGGAAATGTTGTTTTCCATAAGAATCAGGACTATACTTGCTTGATGTATGTATTGATGGGATGTACTTTTTATTTTTATGGTAGGAAGAAAATGGCAAAAACCTGAAAGAATATTTAGGAGATGTTGTTAATTTGATTTCTAGAGACATTTGATTAAAAGAGTAAGGATTTGGAGAAGTAGTTTAGTATAGCAAAAATAATACATGATTTAGAATCAGAATACCTAGATTACATTTCAACTTGACACTGACTATCTGTGTCACTAACTTCTATGGCTCTTTATTTCCCATTCTGCAAATGGAGATATTGAAATTTTCTTCACGGAATTTTTGTGAGTCTCAAATATTTTGTAAATATTGACAATGTTAAATAATAAATTTATGAATTAATGATGCCAAATAACTCAAAATTTATTGTGTAAGTAGAAATGTTCTTTATTTTAAAATAGTATCCCAAAATAAAAAGGAAAGCTAGTAAAATCAATTCTCATTGAAACAGATTTTCTTCAAATCTTAAAGTCACCCAAATAATGGAGTGGCATTATTGGTAGAGGTTATGAATAATGGAGCTTTCAAGTCAGCCACACCTGTATTCGTATCTTTGCTTTGCCTTTGTTGGCTGTGTTCCCTTATGCAAGTTACATCTATGAGCTTTTACTTCCAAATAGGCTTGTTACAAGGAATAAACAACTTAATAAATGTAAAGCATTTAACATGGGAGGCTGAAAAGAACAAGTGTCTAATAAATAATGTTGGTCTAAAAGTAAAAGTAGAAATAATTTGTTGTTATGGTAGTCATTATTCTCATCATCGTTATTACTTTAGGTATTATTATGATCAACATAAAAGAAAAGACCAAATTTTTAAAAACGCATTATTAACTCTCACAGACCATCTAAGATTGTGAGATGCTTTTAGTGCAAACTGGTGAATTGCTCAAATCCTTCACCAAAACCCACTGAAAGAAGAGTAAAGGAATAGAAAAAGTTATAAACCTACAAGAAGAAAAAGGACAGAGGATGAGAAAGAGGAACTGAAAATACCAACTAATTTTCAGCAGGTGAAAGGCAGAGAGAAAATTCACAACTGACATAGAAGAGTTAAGAAAACTGAAATCAAAGTGTCAGAGGAGTGAGATGTCAAGGAGAAATAAGGAAATTTGTCCTGAAGAACCCTGGAAAAATTCAGGAACTAGAGCTACAGTTACTGCAGAAGGTGAGAGTGAGGGATAAAGCTGAAAACAGGATTAAAAGTGTATGCGAGGAGTAATGATAGCCCCAGGTCCCTGTCCCAGTCCACGCATCCACAAGAAGAGACTATTCTCAAAAAAATTTACACCAAAAAGTTCTGGTCTCAGGGAAAGCAGGACAGAGGTCAGCCAAAGTGAGGTACCAAATGGAATATAAGGATTTTAATCCAAAGCCTACCCACTGAACTCTTTCCTTGCTCATCTAAGTGAACTGGTACTTAGACTTATATTGTTCAGAAGACTGAATCTTCTTGAAAGATACTGAGAGTTCCCAGAGAAACAAGTTCAAATACCAACATTTGGGGATGTCTTGATTAAAAGGCCACATTACAGTAGAATAAAATCTATCAGTCAAAAG